GGACCCCAAGTTCCGTCTCCCGGAATGTTACATTTACTTGCTTTTGCAAACTCCTTATGCAACAGAATCTCCGAAATCGTAAGTCATAATATTCATTTTGTTTAAAATTCTTTGAGAAAATATTTTTATTATTTATATTTACATTATTTTTCTATACAATTTTTTTTTATCAGCTCTGCCATGTTGGACATATATTTGTCTGTATTGAAATACTTAGTTGTACCGTCATTATACCCTGCATCAGCTGCTGAATTGAGTTATGAAATTGTTTCACATGAGAAGGGTATTGTCATCAAAGTATACGGGTTCAATCAAAAATTACCTGTTAGTAATTAGTCTATTAATTTTTTACTCTCAAATTACTTTTGTTATTCTAAATAATTATTTGTTTTCGCAGCTTTTGTTAAAAAAAATATTTCAAAATATTGTCACCTGTCATGATCTAACCACAGAGGATTTATTTAATGTTATGAAAAGAGAGCAGTGTAAAGAAAAATTCAACACCTTTATAAAACCAAATAAACTTTGTCGGTAAGTATCAGTTTTTTAAATATTTACGTTAAACTGGGCTCATTTCAAAAATTAAATTTTTTTAATGTAAGTGTTAGCGTGCAGTATTAAACTGTTTTTACAAAAAAACTTGGCGATTAAAAATTGTGAAACCGTATTTCAGGGATGTACGATTATCTATCATAACTAAAGGTTATTCAACAGCAATTGAGAAACATACTGCCCTTTGCGACATAGACTTTCATCAGTATCTCCAATTCGCTGAGCATCTGATGGATAACTTGTACATTCAGTGTCTCGCCCAAGGAAACATGACCCGAGAGAATTTGTTGAAATGTGTGTTTGAGTGTACCGAACTATTGAAATTCAGCAAATTAGATTCCAGTGCATACCCACAAATATTAGCTTACGAGATCGTAACAATGACTCACAGGGTAAGGAAAGTAAAGATGGAGGTAATGAGGAAAGTGGTCATGGAATAAAAAATCTTACTGGCAAACCCAGTAAAGAAGAAAAAAAAAGGGTATTTCGTGATTTATCAAACCCTAAATGTAAAAAAAAAAGTATTTTATTACGTATATTAAAAATTTTTAGGCAGCATGTGCCTTATCCGTAAAAGTTGGAAGTTTTAGTGATCCACTCAAAATTCAAGGTATGGCTCATTTTCTTGAGCATGTGGTGTTAATGGGTTCCGAAAAATATCCCCAGGTAATTGATATTGACATACTACACATACGAACACATAAAAACAAGAATTTATCACATTAATGAAAAATGACTTTGACGAATTTATAAAAAAGAATAGTATCACTGAAAATGGTTACACTGACTGGGAGCACACAACATTTAGCTTAGAAGTGCGAGAAAACTATTTACTACCTGCCATGGACCGTTTCGCCCAATTTTTTATAAGTCCTCTTATGGAAAAAAGTGCTATCACTAAAGAAAGGGAAACTGTAGAAAGTGGTTTGTTATTTGTACCTACAGTATCAAAATTTAGTTCACTTTATGTGTTTAAAAAAAGCATATTATCAACATTCTATATTTTAGAGTTCAAGATGGCCTTACCATCAGATTTCTACAGAAAAGAGCAATTGTTTTGCAGCTGTGCAAAAACTAATCATCCTGCCACAAAATTTTCGTGGGGTAATTTAATAACGCTAAAAGATAATATAGAAGAAGAAACATTGTATTCAGAATTGCATAAGTTCAAAGACAGGCATTACAGTGCTCATCGAATGACTCTGGCTGTTCAAGTTTGTTTTCTGTTGTTCTATGAATCATACAAATGACGTTCTTGCTCCCAATTTTATATTCTTTATTATGTTTAATTCTACAGGCTAGACTATCATTGGATGAGTTGGAGAAATATGTCATCGACTGCTTTTCTAGTGTGCCTGTTAACCATCTGTCGTGTGATGATTTTTCTGAATTCAAAGGCAAAGATTCTTTCATTAATCCAAATTTTTGCAAGTTATACAAGGTCAAACCAATTAAAGATACCTGTCAAGTTAGTGTTAAAGAATTCTAAGTAACATTAAGATATTTATTTTATGACGTAAGAGTAGTTGTTGTTCATAATATTTTAAGGTTGAACTCACATGGATTATGCCCTCATTACATCATTTGTACAAAACTAAGCCTCATAAAATTGTTTCATGGATTATTAGGCACGAAGGAGAGGGTTCCTTAATAAATTACCTTCGTCAAAAATTATGGTGCTTGCATATTTTGAGTGGCATCAATGGAGGAGATTTTGAGCATAACTCGATGTATTCGTTGTTAGGTTTATCTTTGATATTAACTGATGATGGGTTCAAGCACTTAAAAGATGTATTAGAAGCTGTATTTTCCTACATAAGTTTGTTACGTCGAGTGGGTCCTAATAAAAGGTTATTTGATGAAATTCAGAAAACTAAAGACATCAGTTTCAGGTGATTGTGAAATAGTTTTTATTCATTAATGTTATACGCCACATCTATCTAAAACTATATTACACTTGTTGTACACAAGTACAACATAATTTGCAAGTTTATTAATGTGTAATTCAAATTATTTAAGTAATTTCATAACTTTTTTTTAATTATAAATTGCATCAGAAAAATATAGTGGGAAAGAATTTTTTAGATTTATGACTGAACAAGACACTATAGATAACGTCACAACTTTATGTGTAAATATGCATTTGTACCCATCGAAAGACTTTTTGACAGGAGAAAATTTATATTCTCTCTATGATCCGGAATCTATAAAACAATGTATGGAAGACTTGAGCCCAGAAAAAGTCAATATTATACTTTTTGATCGGAAATTTAATGAGGAAGACTTTGACCAAGTGGAACCGTGGTTCCAGACAAAGTATTCTAGTGAAGATATACCCAAGGAATGGGTCTCTCGTTGGAAAGAAATTGAACCTTTTGAAGAATTTCATTTGCCTGAACCCAACGAGTTTATCACGGATGATTTCACTTTGATAGATTTGCCCGCCGATGTACCAAGTTACCCAACGAAAATCTATCATGACGAAAAAACAGAAATTTGGTACAGAATGGACCCCAAGTTCCGTCTCCCGGAATGTTACATTTACTTGCTTTTGCAAACTCCTTATGCAACAGAATCTCCGAAATCGTAAGTCATAATATTCATTTTGTTTAAAATTCTTTGAGAAAATATTTTTATTATTTATATTTACATTATTTTTCTATACAATTTTTTTTTATCA